GGAGGCAGGGCACAGGTCCCTACACCCCCTGCGCGCGAGCGCTACGCCACTGTTCGAGTCCTGTGTGAAACGTGTGCTTTGGTGCTCGGCAAGGTTCGTCCCCGTTATCCCCATTTGCAGCTACTGCTTCCGCCCCGCATAGCCGAGCACGCCTGTGTTTGTGCTGACTGCTTGTAGGTATTCTACAGCTTTGCAGTCATTGGGCCCCCGAGCATTGAGCTTTCTCTCCTCCAACTAACGCCTTACAAAACCGTTACACCAACAACGCTTGACGAACTCCGTGTCACGTGTTCAGGGTCGGCCCCTACTCCACAGGTGTTACTTAGAGCTGTTACTGGTTTGGTGGTGTGTTGTTTGTGCCGGTGCGGGTCCCCGGGGAAGGAAGCAGCGGGGTAGGGTTCGGCAACACAGCTAGGGGCGAAGTTCAACAGCTGGGTCCCCGCACTAAGAACACACTGTACTGGGCGTCTCTCTCTCTCTCTCTCTCTCTCTCCCGGGCATAGGGGTCGGTCAGGCCCCCCGGGCTCCAAGCCTCTTCTTCAACACGGCCCCCTGCGCGGTTTTGCGCCGCGGGGAATTAGCGTGCTGAGAGGACAGTTTGCCCCCCGAAGGTTTGACTCACCGGCTGCCTCTCTCTTTCTTTCGCAAGGGTAAGAGGTGAGCGAGCGACCCTCACCCCTGCGCTCCAGGCGCCCATATGGTATGGGAAGCATTCAAGCCACAAGCACACGAAGGCAGATCCAGGCTGTCTCTTCTTCAGCACAGTCAGAAGGGCACCGCGTTCGGTCGCACTGCCCTCCGCGCATTTCCGCTGTCTCTCTCTCTCTCTCTCTCTCTCTCTCTCTCTCTCTCTCCAGCAAGTTCTACTGCAGCTTCAGCTCTCTGTGATCAGCACGCATGATTTGGTTCCGGCACGCGCCTTTGCAGGAAGTATCGCCACTCCCAGCACGCCATGGACACAGGGCACCCAGCACCAAGCTCAAGTAAGATACGGCAACAAGGGCTTGATGTAAGAGCATCCACGACCGGGACTTCACATCCAGTGGCATCTCAAGTGGCTTGCAATAATCCCAGATTGTGAATGCAGTGGATGGCCCTCAATTTCAGATTTATCTCGAGCTGCAAGCCTATTTGCCTGAAAACCCAAAGCCGCGCATCCAGAACTTCCACAGCTGCTGCCCACACCTCCCATGAGCCCGTGACGGAAGCAGCCAAAGCTGCGCTCAAGCATCCGGAGGCCAGCCGCCAAGAACCGACCTGTAGTGGAAGGTGCTGCCTGCCGTATCTTTCACGAATTGGCAAGCGCCGAGTCTCGTCCACACACGGAAAACAGAAGTCGCAGTCGTGGCAGCAAGTGGGTTCGTAATCTCCTCCCCTGTTCGACGCCACACACACAGAGAAGCATAGCAGCAGCTCATTTATTCCTGCTTTTACGGCTGTCTGAGCTCCGCAACTGCGAATCTTTGTCTCATCCTGATTTCCTCCTTATCCAACTACTGATCATGTCATGTCATCCGAGAGCTGCACCCAGCGAGAGCAGAGGCTTGGTAGCAGCATGTTCCCCATCCTTGCAGGCGAAGGTGGTTTCAATGCCAACGCTCAAGAAAGGCAAGTGGCGAACGCACGGCCTAGCACTGCGCAGGTTGCCGAGGACGAGGCGATGCCATCAAGAATGCCTGAGGCCTCGTTGAGTTCAGGGCCGTGGAAGTTCAGCGCTCCCCTTTCTGATATCTTGTACACTCCTGATACCTGCTGAAAGTACCAACGTGCACAGCGCAGCCTTTTGCTTTTGGCAGGAAGTCTCGCAAGATGGAGCCTGGATCGCGACGCTCGCCGTGCCGGCTTTGAGAGAGGAACTTGCAACTTGTGGCATACGGCAGTAGGTCTTCCGCCTGCTGGCCACCAGGGAATTCGAAAACCAGCATACCGCAGTATGCCGCAACTTTGACGTGACGTTATGCGAGCACCGAGCCCGCTCCCTAGGAGATGCTTGATTTCAACGGGTTCAAGTGCTTCGCGACGAAGCCTTCGCATCCTGGTGAAAGCTGAATATCTGTCGCATCCTGCATCTTGTTTTGCAACTGAGCATGGGCTCGGGCTCCGACTCGGCTCCACATCTGTACAACATTTCGCGAATTCTCCGCACAGCAGTCACCACCGCAGCTCAGGCGACAGAGACCCAAAGATTTCCTGAAGGGAAACAAGAGTGCTCGGCCAAACGCGCGGAGCACTCAACAGTCCTCGAAAGAGGCTCCACAAGACCTCGGGCAAGCGTGAAGGATTCACATTGCCAAAGTGCCAAAGCCAGTCTTTTTCTCCAAGGTGCTCGTCCGAGGAGAGGCCAGCAGCTTGGCCGATGTGACCGGCGCCTGCGGTACCCAAACCTCTCAGAACCTGAGTGGCAAGTGGCCTCTGGCCGGTCTTCGACTGCGAACTCTAGCGATGTATAGGGAGCTGATCCAGGCAAGCGGTGCAGCTTGCCATAGCTTGCCTGAGTGCCACACGTCATGGCAGGCTGCCTTTCCTGGGCTCGAACGGACGAGAGTGGCTCGTGACGCACAGGACCGCTGATCACACAGAACCCAAGCGAGCCCAAACCTGCTTGTGCTCCTACCGGAGTGGTCCCCGAAGGCTTGAGCCCCAAGCCTCAACTGTCCCACCACTGCAGCTGCAGTCAGGTGTCGCCGCGACCATTGCTGCAGCGCCCCACGCAGGGCTGCACCGAGGTCCAGCGGTGAAGGTCTCAGAGGCTAACTTCTGGGCGATGCTCAGATCATGCCGGTGCAGGATGCTACTCCGCTGAGCTGCCCACTCTCCGTCCGAGCGGATTCGTGCCAACTTTCCGAGAAGTTCCTGTCGAGAGACAGCACAGTCGTCCACTTCACAGCAAGAGGCAGTTGGCATTCTCATCTGATGTGTGTCCGTTCCCGATCCCTGCCTCAGATTCCCTGCGTGCGCTTTCCACCTCACCCGGCAGGCTCAGACGTGCAAGGAGCTGCAAGCATGAAAGGAGCCGCAAGCCCCCTGTCACGCTCCACAAGAAAGCCTGGGGCCTACTCTTCTGGAGGCCCAGCCTCGCTTCGACACCGCATGGTGTCTCGACGCAGCTGCAGGTCTCTCCGCGCCTCGGGAGTGACGCAGCCGTTTCGGAAGCCAAAAGCCCCCCCCCCCCGCAAGGCGTTTGGGTTCGCCGCCTCGTCGACTGCCTTCTGCAAGTTTAAGTGGAGCTTCGCCTGGTGCAAAGCAAACTCATATGCCAGTTCTTTATCGACGAAGGGAAACCGCATAAACTTCGGAAAACAGACTCTATAGACCATACTTCCTCAGCAGACCATACTTCCCCAGCATACTCAGCAAAGGTCCACGGTGGTCAGATTCCAAGTCTTCGCATTGCAAAGCTCCGGCATGTATGCTGCCGGCGCCTGGGCATACAACTCGGCGGCTTGCTGTCGACGTTGGACCTCATCCTGGCACAAAGGGGATCGAGCCAAAACAATCTCCTGAAGTCTAACGGCTAACCGGCTAACTCCACTTGTGTGCGAAACTCAGGAACCTCGACAGTGAGCTCCGTGGCACCTGAAAGGAGGCCACCAAGAGCACATTTGTTCTCCAGACATGTCGCAAGCAGGATCTCCGATTAAGGGACATACAACATGGCAGCATTATGGCAGCATTATGCAGCATTGTTCGGGCCTGGGCTTGTAGGATTTCCAGCATCTGTGAGATCCGGAGACTGCACCCGTGGTTGCTTCGCAGGGCCGTGGTTTGTCGATTCCGGTACTGGCCTGGGCGTCGCATGTCGACACAGCCACGGCAGTACGATCTCACGCGATGATTGACTTTCTGAACCCGGCCATACGCTCGAAACGTGCCAGGTGTGCCTCTTGACTACCTGCAGGCCTGGTGGCAGAAGGCTTCGAGCTTCCTCCTGGAACAAGAAGCGATGATTTCGTTGGCAGGAAGCTGCAGCTGCCACCCGTGAGTGCCTGAAGCCGTTTGGCTCGGCATACAGCTTGCTCGGCACCGGATCCTCCAGGAGCCAGCTCTGCTTCGGCGACGTTACACAGACCCGCTCAACTCCTGGCCTCTCCGCCGCCAGGAACGCAGCTCCCCGGCTGCGGCCATCTGAGCTCAAGTCAAAAAGCCGAGAGCTGAAAGCTCTGCGAGCCGAAATCCGCCTCGAAAGCGTCGGCAGCACCTGCCGCCTCCTCAGCCAAGCCTCGGGAAGGAGAACTTACAAGTAATTAACTTGAAGTCTGCGTCTCTCCGCCGAGACGAGGGACGTCGTCGTTCGAGACTCGCGGCGAGCAAGGCGGACTGGGTGCGCTCGCACTGTGCCTGCTCATGTCAGAGGTGTGCACGGAGAACGAAGTCGAAATGCAAGCCATCCTGACCCGTGCAACGGACGTTCGGGGATTTGCATACGGAGTCTTTTTCTGCTGTGCTGAACTTGAAAAGACATCGAGGTCCAGGTCTCAGGTGTCTCTCAGAATCTCTCAGGGAAGTGTGAGATCGACTCCGGCGCCCCGGATCTCACGCAGACCTCAGCCAGCTCAACTCCAAGGTCGAGAGCAACCGGCATAAGAGTTGCTGTTCCTGCCAAGGCGCTTTGTTCCCAGAGTGCTTCCTGAAGCGCAGGGCTCTGGTGGTCCTGAGCTTTGAATGCAGCCCGACTTGGGCATAACCGAACATCGCAGAAGAGACACCAGTGAGCACTCAGCTTCCTGCCAGCGACAAAACCCTCTAAGCGACGGCTCCTAGATTTGAATCCCCCCAAATGCTTCTACTTTCTGCCGAACCCTTCAGCACGTCCATTCACGTCCTGACTTGGCTCCGAGACTTCGAGGACCTCTCTAGCAGCAATGGGGCTCCTCGGCAAGTGGCTAAGTCGGCTAAGTGCTCCGTGCCTTTGGGGGCACCTACCACCACGTGAGTACACGAAGCTCCAGAACTCGAAGAGAGTCGACAGGCTTGCACCGCGGTAACCGTTCCTCGAGAAGCGGCTTGGGAGCTTGCTGTGGCTACGACAAAATATTTGAAACACATGGGCTTCGCTGTGGTTGCGACGCTCGCCTTCAGCCGGGCTACATACACTCAGCTACACTCCTCACATCAATTACGTGCCATGAGAGGCTGGGCAGATGATGGATATCTCCAGCGATGTAAAGTGCTGCCGCGCGGCCAATACCTGCTTCAAAACTTGGAAGAAAATTCGTCGCAGACGCATTCAGGAACAAGTCGAAGACCGTGAGCTTTTGAAAGTGCTCTACTCTGCTTATCGAATCGAAGCCGCACAGCTACGAGTAGGATAGGTCCTGAGTGCATGCCCATGACGGACCTCGAGTTTTAGGTGGGACGCTCGCTTCCACAGCGGCACAGTGGCCAGTTTAGCGGCAGCCCTGCTGGGGTTCGGATGCAGTAACCGGAACAGCTTCCAGCTGTGCGTGAGGAACCTGGGTGGTGCCGGAACGCAGCCCTCCTCCGCGGTGGCTGCCTGGAGGCCCGGCAAGAACCCGCCGGACAAAGCGCTGCAAGCTGCTGCACGCTGCTTCAAGTTGCAGGCTCCTGCCTTCACTACGGTCTTTGCTGCCGTCTCTGGGCTAATCAGAAGTCGGGAGAAAACCTGAGAACACATCTCAGGGGAGTGGAAACATGCTACGATCCAAGTTGAGTCTCTGCCAACCGCGAACAAGGCACAGCCTGTTGCCATCCCGCATACCCCCGCCAAATGTCAGATGCAACCTCAGCTTCACAAGATGTGGTGTTCTTTCTCTGCGGGGCTGTCAGACGGGCTACGTTAGCCGTGAAACGCAAAGCATGTCACATCATCCATCATCGTTCACCTCTTTTGCGAGTCACTTCACGAGAGTGCCAGAAATCCCTCCGTACACCAGCGAAGCAAGTTTCAGACATTTGACACCGCCCGGGTTGACACAGTGGAAAGCGACATCCTGGACAGGGATGGCGGATTTCACGCGTGGAGGTAAGTTCAGACGTCAAGACAGCACGACAGTGAAACTGTCGTGGGCTCCTGCCTCGCCATAACGCTTGTGGAGCGCGTAGCTCGACACAATCCTTGTGTGCAAAAGGGAGCCGGGTGAAGAGAGGAACAGTTTGTCAACTCTTCGGCAAAGCGTCTGTGCAAGTTTGGAAAGCCCGTAGAGTGAGACCTCAGTACTGACGATGAGTGTGCCCGACATCTGAGACTCTATGGCCAAGCGGCATATGGATCTCGAATTTCTCGTGTGATGCTAAAGTCGTCCAATGAAGCGCCTAAGGAGTCAAGACACCGACTTCCCTCAGGCCCGGTCAAAGTTTGCCTGACAGTCCAGGGCTATGTGCAGCTACAGTCGCGCTATTTGTCTTTCAATAGGCATTGGGTCCATCAGAGATCTCCAAATGCAGCATCAGATGCACCAGGCATCTAAAACCCTACCAGTTTCATAATCATGAGAACAGTATTGACAGCCTGGACACCTTAAGTTGGTGTAGTGAATTTCATTTCAGTCAAGCTTATTTGTATTTAGGCTGACTATTTCATAACACTCAAAAACCTTCTTTTCATGAAGATGTGTCCTTGCCAGTAAAAATGAATGTTAACGAAAGTAGGACAGCAGTGCAGTGCAATGATTGAAAGCTGAAGACGGGGCAGCGTCAACTGTCACCAAGACCAGTCCACACCAATAAAGCAATCCACGTTCGACGCCTAGTAGCAGCAGTAGTAGTAGTAGTAGCAGTAGTAGTAGTAGTAGTAGTAGTAGTAGTATTAGTAGTAGTAGTAGACAGTAGTAGTAGTAGTAGTAGTAGTAGTAGTAGTAGTAGTAGTAGTAGTAGTAGCAGTAGGAGTAGGAGTAGGAGTAGGTAGTGGTCGTTGTCGTCGTGGTCGTGGTGGTGGTAGTGGTAGTGCTAGTTAGTGGTAGTGATAGTGGCAGTCTGAGCGTTTCTCGTTTCACGGGCTTTGTTCGTGTTCCTTTTTGCGATTTGTCCGCAGCTGCCGCTATCATTGAGGCCGCTCCACGCAAAAAATCTAAAAGCAGTAGTAGTCTTAGTGGTAGTCGTCGTAGTAGTGGCAGTACTAGTACTAGTACTAGTACTAGTACTAGTACTAGTAGTAGTAGGTAGTAGTAGTAGTTGTTGTTGTTGTCGTAGCAGCAGTACTACTAGTAGCAGTAGCAGTAGTGGTAGTACTAGAAGTAGTTGTTGTTGTAGCAGCAGAAGCAGTCCGTGGTTGCAGAAGTCGTGGTAGTGTGAGTAGTAGCAGCAAGTCTTGGTCGTTGTTGTCGTTGCCATAGTAGTAGTCGTCGTCGTAGCAGCAGTAGTAGTGGTCGTAGCTGTCGCAGTAGTGGTGTTGAAAATCTGGATGTGCACCCGTATTCCGTATAGTCGATGTAATTGTTGCCCTCTGGTTCCAATGACTGAAAGGAGAGAGTTTCGCACCCTCATTTCGCCATTAGGCAACGAGCAAAGAAGTCTCTCAGGCCGGTACACGTCACAAAAATTTCGAAACCCACGTTTCAAGTTTTTTTCGAAATCTTGTGGGGTTCAAGAAGCACAATGCGTTCGAACTCCGACGTTGCAACTCTTGCTATATCCAGCCATAACCCGTCCAACCGCAAGAATGGCACCTACTTGCCAAACGCTTTCTGGAGGTCCAACCACAAGTGTTGTGGTGTTTATCCAACAGCTTTGAAGCTGTGAGCATTCTCCTGCCGTTAGAACTCGGCCCTTCCGCTTGCAGCCGGAAGCACTTCTGTGGACGACCGAGGAAACGTTGATCCTCGAATGCACATGAGTAGCAGGCGCTGCAGCAGCACTTTATACTTTATAGTCACTGAGACTTGAAGCAGTCAAGAATCACACGCCCCTTGGCTCGACGGAGCAGCGGCAGCAACAACAGGGTCAGGAGAAAGTGCGACCTGCTGGAGCTGCGCACAGAATATCTGGAAACTGTCAACAACCCGCATCTGGCCAGGTTTGGTCTTTCAACAGAATCTACTAAAGGAGTTCGTGACACGAACGAGAGGGCTGCAGAGAGAGGCACAACCCACTTGGCTAAACGACATTCAGCTCCCGTCCCGAATCATTCAGGCTTGGTTGTGCAGAGAGCAGCTGCTGCGCAAAAGCCGAGAAGCAGGTAGTTCGTCTGATAAAGCTTGTCCACACCATCCGACGACAGCTGTCGGGATGGCTCCTGCACATGCCAGTTAGAGAGCGTTGAACATCAAGAGACCCGGCGTGGATGATTGCATTATCTTCACAACTCTGCGCACAGCTCCGCTCACACAAGGCATCATGTTGTTCAAAGGGCAGAACATGAATCCTTGGAAAGCTTTGCAAGCACGGCCAAAGACCTGCTCAGCCGACGCAGAGTTGAGGCCGGCATTGCCTCAGGGATAGATGAGGAAAGATTGTGCCAAACCCAAGGCTCAGCTGCCATGTACTTAGGATGCTGCAGACCAGCAGCGTCAGCTCGCCGTCCATGTGTTTCACCTCCTGCGAGGCAATTACAGATCAGATACCTTCTGCGCACCATACTTGAAGGCCAGACTCTTTGCTTCCATGACTCCGCGTCTCAACATTCCACTATAGGACGGGTATCACAGACTCCGAATATAACATCAAACCCTAAGGACTCATGGACGCACCTGCTAGACCGTGATGCCTGTGTAGCATGTGCAAAAGCGCCTGGCATCAGTCAAGCCTGATCAAGCCTCCAACTCTCGAAGTATCGCATGCTCAATCACTCAGCATCTGCATGCCTTCTGGCGCCATTGATGTTAGATAAACCCGGACTTTCTCAGCGGTCTGGCCAGAAGGCCTCTGCGAATTTCAGCACGGAAGCGAAGGAGGAGAGGTCGAGCCTCTGAACAAAACTCTGCTTTCTGTCTCCACTGCATGCATATTCTCATCAGCAGCCGGGTGACTGTCGATTGATGACGTCGCCTCCTGCCTCACCGCGAGGCTTCAGCACAACTTCGCGCTGTTGCAACGGGCCCGAATCTGCGCTCCTCTGTAAGGGCCGCAGCAGCCGCCTCTCCACGAGCAACACTGCGACAGCCAATGACCACGGCATAGCCAACAGAGGCGAGCTGGCCTGGGAAGCGAGCCACAGCTACACTTACGGACCAGAATGCTGCGCCGTTCCTTCTTTTTCCGAGCATGTCCCCCCGTCTCCTAGAACCCGCGCACTGACCTGTGCCCATTGCTGCAAAATCCTTACATGCCCCAAAGTCCCAAAATCTCAGGCTCTTGAGAAGCCAAAAACCGTGTAGCCCGGGAGGGCATCGGATTGGTGTAAGGTCTCCCACCACCACCACCACCACCACCACCAACCCTTGCTGCAGCAGATCTGTTTGCAACTTCGCCCTGCAGTCTCTTGGAGCTTCGCGGCTTTTTCGGTCCGAGCCCTGGCTTGGCTTATGGGCCTAGTTGTGTAGCCTTTACCGTGTCCCGGCCAAAAAGCTTCCCCTTTTATACGAACGCACCATGCAACTGCAGCGCTTAAGAGCCTGCGGTGTAATAGCCGATGCCGGTATTTCCTCCGGTGACGATGGCAATCGGTGCACCTGATGCGGAGCGACCCGACTCGCTCTCGCTCTGGAACGGCAGTGGCAGCAGCATTTCGGAAAAGAAACCGAATCATACAAGTTGCAATCAGCTTGCGACTGCACCTGCCGAATCTCCTACGGCCGCCATCGCGAGAACAAGGAGCCAAGGGCGGGCGGCTAAAGCCCGCATGGGCGCGTGCTACATCTACTGATTGCTTGGGCTGTTTCCCACCTATACATCTTGCGCATCAAGGATACGAACTTTGCCACACCGCAGTGGGGTGTGCTGATACTCTGATTGCTGACACTCTGCTTCTGTTTCGCTCGAGTGAACAGGGTCTGGAAGCATGATGGTGGGCGAAAGCAAAGACCCATGGAGTTGCTGGTTGATGACAGCCTGAATCTGCGATAAATTGGTATTCAACTCGGAACTCGGATCCGACAGCACGATACAGAGACTCGATAAAAGCAAGCCTCCGCAGCGCTGATCCGACATCGTGCGCGGAGCCGCAACTGAGGCGTTCTCAAAGAAAGTTTCGGCAATGAAAGTTCGGATTGTTTGGATCTCTTTCATTGCAGCTTTTGCTCCGATAAGGCAGCTGATGTCATACGCTGTCACTTGCAAACCTGGACGGGAAGTCCAAACACAACAGAAACTCGGTCACCTCTGCCGCATCATTGCAACTGCCGTTGCTTGGGCGCTGCGCCTCACCGTCTGGAGTTCAAGCAGTATTCGGTGTTCACTGGAAGCGCTCACCCACGAGCGCAACATCTCAAGTGAAAGGCTCACATGGCCTCGTCCAGCACCTCTGCCCGAGCCTGCGCTCGTGGAGAAAACGTGTTCGGAATCTGTTCGGCCAGTTTTCGGACGAGAGCCGACCAGCCCCTCCGCAGAAAACCCCCTGCCATCCCCCGCCCAATGCAGAATTGAGAACCGATTTGAGTCGACAGATGAAGCCAGCCTTTATAATAGCACCGCGAGCCTGAGCAGCTTGTTCCCAGATGCTGCCAAAGGCGGACCTATGGAAGATGGTGCAATGGTCTTGAGCCTGGTTCTCTGCACCCTTCCCAACTACTGGTGCAACCTTGCAAAGCCGCGCTTACTGGGTAAAGATTCTGAGCGCTCAGCACAGGCAGAGCTTCCTGCAGCAACTGGTTCCCGGTGGCCGTCCTTAAGCCGTGACTGACTACGGACTGCGAATTGAGCAGCGGCTTTGGATTGGAGTCCTGAATCTTCGTCGAGCCCCAGCGGAAAGAGTCACACGTGAGTGACGAGTGAGTTTGACCACCGGCCGCTCTGACCTCTACCAGACTCTACCACATGCTCCGTTTGCTGCCGAAGGCACTCGACACCGAGAGCCGCACGCGCCTCCTGGAGCACATTTGCAACGAGCACTCCTCGTTAGAAGCTTCCTCGGCCATCCTCAGCCTTCTCTAGATGTGTTGGCCCAAAAGCCAAGACAGACATGCCTGCACGCTTACGAGGTCAGGAGACACGAGAGAACAGCGCAGCGAGCACTGGGGTGCTTGTTGTATAGCTTCGTGTAGCAGCCCTTTCACCACCGTCGGTGCAGATATTGATCCCTGGATCAACGAAAATGTGCTGGTATTTTCAGACATCGTGACTCCATGACTCATGCTGCTGCAAACAAAGGCAGCTGAGAGCGAACGTAAATATGCTCGAGGCTTGAAACCAAAAAAGCTCACTAAAAAAAGCAAGCAACAACAACGGAAGGCCCTGTACCGGCCTCGGCAGCCACCTCCGCGGCACCCTCCGCGTTGGCCGCTGCCAAGGCCGAATGCAAAACCTCGCAGGTGGGGATGCGACCCGGGAATCCCGAACCTGGCTGCGACGCCCCGACTGCACAGCTTGATGATCTCGATCGGCCTGTTGAACCTGCTGCAGCTGCTCGGCAAGCCTTGCCACAAGAGGGCAAATCAGACAAACAATAGATTGCGTGCGGCAAAGGCTTGTTTGCGACTGCTGTGTTTTGTGTATGTATACAACCTGTATCTATATTTACAATCATATTTACACATGCCGTTGTATAATCTATATATACATATGTTTGTGTGTATATATATGTATATATACATATATATATATATATATATATCCATCTAATATAACTATGCATAAATGTATACAAACATGTATATGTGTGTGTATACGTGTTGTACACATATTTGTATGTATATATATATATGTATGTATATATACATATATATATACATATATATATATATATATATATATATACATATATATATATATATATATAGATATAGGCACACAAACATGCATACAAAAATAGATACTTACATGTGCATGTGCAAATATATATATATATATATATATGCACATATACACATGTATACATGCAAACATATATACATATGTACATATATACATATATACTTATATACATTTACACATATATACATTCATACGTAAACACATATATCTATATACATATACACACTTTTGCATACATATACATACACATACACATATACATATACATATACATATACATATACATATACATATACATATACATATACATATACATATACATACACATACACATACACATACACATACACACACACATACACATACACATACACATATACATATACATATACATATACATATACATATACATATACATATACATATACATATACATATACATATACATAGATATATATGTATACAGATATACACATACATATATCTCTACAAAAATGCATATATAAATACATATGAACATACATATACATATACATATACATATATATATATATACACATATGTTTATATATTGCATATATATATATATATATATATGTGTATACATGCTCCCCCCCCCCGTGGCTGGCTTAAACAGGGTCTATTTGGAAGCTGGCATTCGGGCTTTGCTGTGGTCATATATCCTCACACGAAGGCCGGCGAGCTGGTCCCAGCGAGCTAGGGCACGTATTGGAACAACATTCTGTTAATGTCAGGTTTGTGTCACAAGACCTGAGTCGGACAGCAAGCTAACACAAAGAAACCGGCAAGCAGCAACCAAACAGGCCCCTCCAACTTCACGAGAATTCAAAAATCTGCGTTTACCCATCCGTCGGAAAGAAAAGAACTCCTCTCTCTCTTGATCAGGGGATTGGATCCCGAAAAGATGGAGAACAGCATACGCACCAGAAGAAGAAACCTCCGTTCTCTCTTGGCAACGGAAAGAGATCTTGATTATTTCCTTTACCTTTTCAAAAGATGGACAAGGGCATACGCTCAAGAAGAAAGGGCGGAGATTCCCCACCCCTCAACGAAAACACGGAGAAAGTCCCTCCAAGTCATTCAGCTGATCTCTAGCAGCGAGCTCCTCTACCTCTTGGTAACTCTCCATCTCCTCTGACGATAAATGAAGAGAGCTCGCTGCTTCGTCATCCGCAAGAAATGAGCTTCTTTTCTCCAAAAGGGTAAGGAAGAGATCCCTTGGCACATCCCCTACCGCAGCATCTCCAAGGAGCAGAGAACCCTTCCAACTTCACGAGAAAAAAGGAACTCCGGCTGCCTCCTAGTCGACAACAAGAGAGAGGATCTCCTTGTCGTCCCCTCTTTCTCCTCAAGGGATAGAAGAGAGATAGCTTTCAAGAAGTGAGGACTGAACTGTCTCAATCTTCAAAAGAAGAGTCTGGTCCTCCCCTTAGCCTTCAACAAGACATGAGCAGCCCTCTACCCCGTCCTCTGAATTAGCTCCCGAAAAGACAAATCCTCTGCCTCATCCTCGACAAGAAGAGACTGAGAGCAATCTAAGGGGGCAGAGGAAAGCGCCATCTCAACAAATCAAGCAGGCCGCTCCAACTTGACGAGAAAGAAGAGGGCTCCGTTTACCCTTCTGCAACAAGAGACCTCCTTTCTTTCTTGATAAGGGGGGGGATGCTCAAGAAGAAAGGGTGGAGCTCCCCCCAATTTTCAAGTAGAGACATCTGGTCATCCCTCAGCTTCAAAAGGAAAAGACCTCATGCTCCAAAATAAGAAGAGAGTCCCCAGGATATTCGTGGCAACAGAAGAGAGCATCCCTTTTTACCTCTTGGTATGTCGCCTTGTCGTCTTAATTAAGAAGATTGAAGAGACATCGCTCCTAGCAAGAAAGGACAGAGCTCCCCTAGCTTCCAAAAAGAAAGATTTTCTACCTCATCCTCCACAAGAAATCACTGAGAGCTTCCTCCTATGCAATGAGGCGTAAGAGAGCTCCATCTCAGTCCAGCAGACAGGCCCCTCCAACTTCACGAGAATTCAAAGGTCTCCGTTTACCCATCGGTCGGAAAGAAGATAACTCCTTTCTCTCTTCATAAGGGGATTGGATCTTGAGCATTTCTTTTGCCTTTTCAAAAGATGGAAGACAGCATACGCACAAGAAGAAGAAACCTCCTTTCTCTCTTGGCAGTGGAAAGAGATCCTGATTGTTTCCCTTACCTTTTTGGAAAAGGGCATACGCTCAAGAAGAAAAGGCGGAGATTCCCCCACCCCTCAACGAAAACACGGAGAAAGTCCCTCCAAGTCATTCAGCTGATTTCTAGCAGCGAGCTCCTCTACCTCTTGGTAACTCTCCATCTCCTCTGACGATAAATGAAGGGAGCTCCCTTCTAGTCGAAGAAGACAAGGCTCAACGCATCTCCAGTTTCAAAAAGAACTGCGGCTGCCTCTTATAGTCGACAAGATGAGAGAGGAGCTCCTTGTCGTCCCCTCTTCCTCTTCAAGGGATAGAAGAGGGATAGCTTTCAAGAAGTGAAGACAGAGCTCGCTCAATCTTCAAAAGAAGGGGAGGATCAGACTTCAACAAGACATGAGCAGCCCTCTACCCCATGCTCTGAATTAGCTTCCAAAAAGACAAATCCTCTGCCTCATCCTCGACAAGAAGAGACTGAGGGCTTCCTCCAATCTAATGGGACAGAAGAAAGCGCCATCTCAACAAAGCAAACAGGCCGCTCCAACTTCATGAGAAAGAAGAGGGCTCCGTTTAGCCCTCGGCAAGAAGAGACCTCCTTTCTTTCCTGATAAGGGGAGGGGATCCTGATTATTTCCGTTGCCGTTTTAACAATGGAAGAGAGCATACACTCAAGAAGAAAGGGTGGAGCTCCCCCCAATTTTCAAATTAGAGACATCTGGTCGCCCCTCAGCCTTCA